AAATCGAATAGAAATCCACAGAAAGGCTGGCTGCATATGGTGAAAATACAAACGCAAGATCCGAGAAGCCATCGATATATTGACGTAGAGGAATTTAATAAACAGAAGTCTTTAAGAAAGCAGGATCAGCAAAAACTTTGCATAGCGCTTAAAAAATTTGGAGAAGACCAAGCAACAGTAAGATCAGTTAATTTAAGACGACTGGATCAAGGTAACATCTTTAGTTTTAGGAAAAGAAATCTCAAGGAGACCAGAAAAGGACAATCAGAAGCCAAGAGGAGACGTCTAAATTGAGTCTAATAAAAACAGGTAGAAACACAACATTTGTGGATTGGCACACAAGAGACTATGGCATAGGAAGTGATAGACTTGGTATTAGGGATAGAAACAGAATAGACGCTACGTAGACTAGAGCTAGTTGGCTGACAGTAGTCCTGTTTTTCCATAGACGTGGTCCATGAAGCAAAGGCTTAACCATGAGATTTACTCGCGGTCTTTAGCATCAAGTAATTCTCCCAGAGGCAGAGTGTGTGAAATAACGCCTCGAGTAGCAGAAATGGAGTTTCAGGGTTCGAGTAAAATACTTGAACCGGGAGATAGCAGACGAATCCTACGAGGTAAGAGGAAGACTCTGATAAGACCCATGGAAGGAGGACTGCCTGTCAATGGGACAGACTCTGATCAACATTCCCGGCACAATATGGAAGGGATGTGTGGGAGTGAGAAAGCCAGCGTGGAGTGTGGAAAGTTCTCATGAAATCCGCTCAAAAGGGCATACCATACAACATTTAAATAAGTAAAAATTTTTATAGTGAAGGCGTGATACGAGGATATAGGATTGGTGATTTGCCCAGGGCGGAATGATAGATACCACAATTGTTTAGCAGACAATTGGTCAAAGGATCTGCTTTACTTGTCTCTTTGACGAGTTTTGGTGTGGTGCTGAGATTTTTAAGGCTCATTGACGATGCCTACGAAAAATCTGAGAATGTTCCAAGTATGCACGAAGAAAATATGGGTTTCAAAGTTTCTCCTGAAATAAGATTGATGTCAAGACTTTCATTTCGTATGTAAGTACATGATGAAGAGATACGTAGGTCAATCTCACCATAAGACGTTGGCTGATTCGTTTTGCACTGCAGCTGTTTGGCCTTAATATGACGTTCAGGTTGATGCAGTTCACGATATATGTATATATATATATATATATATTTCTCCTTTTATCGTTATTTACTTTTTGCTATGAATGTCTGGACATACTAAAATGCTAGCTAATTCTTCCTAATATTGAAGTAGTGGCTTTAATACCTTGATATCCCAGTATTTATTTTCAGAAGACAGTTATATTAATCTAAACTATTTTGAAAAGTTATATTACCTTTTATGAATATTCTTGCTTTAGTCCAAATGCATTCTTGATTTGGACAGTTTGAGGCTAACTCAATTAATCACTGAATATCTTTATCTTCTCTGTCCCAAAAAATTGTCCTAATTTCTTGATTTTATACATTCGACGAGATTTTTATAAATATTTAACGCTTATTCTTATCTGGTATTAACATAAAATTGCTTTTTATAGCCAAACTTTGATCTGTTTAAAAATAACTATAGCCTGTAGACTCAATGTATTCATTTCATATCAGTTACTAGCTTGTGGTTCTAAAGTACTCAAGCACTATCTCAATTTTACTTTTCCTTCAGATTACGAAATTTTTATGAGCAGATATAAAAAAGACTATTTCTGCTCACTGTTCACTCAACTACCTTATGAGGAATCTGAGCGATCCTTTAAGTTACCGACCATTGATGAATCTTTTATTAATTCTGATCCGAGTAAAACCTTTAATGAATGGTCAAAGGGAATGCTGCGAATTGTCGGAATTATGGAGGACTATATGGAAATTTACGCTGATGAAGGTAGGCCCTCTTAATTTTAGTTAATATCGTATATTAATAAAATTTCCATAACTGGTTTCCATAAAAATCTGATGTAGTCTATTACAGATTTAAATTAAGCAATGTGTTTTCCTAAGCTACGAACATAATTCTAGCTTACTTTGACGATGTCTGCTGAGGTTTGCTCAACATGTTTACAGTAAGAGAGAAGAACGGTGTCCCGTGGATGGAGATTATCCTAATGACGAGCTGCTAAGACAAAATCACCCTCCAATTGCAAGTCTTCTAAAAAACTGAAATAGCTTCTAAAAAGAAACAGAATTGTGCATTTTGCATGTACTCAATTTGTGTCGTTTTTGAAACTTTTCACTAGTGATCATGATACTCATTCTCACTTTCAAAGTGTGCCTGATTGTTATATCAACTCAAAATATTATAAAACTTTACGCTTTTTTCATCAAGATTACTTAGTATGTATTCCATGTAGGTGAGGATGTCTTATGCTAGGCTGGTCACTATCTGGCAAACGTGGGATGGATATATACATCAAGACATCAGTGTGAATTATACACAATTATCAATACTCTGCAAGAAGTATTACTATTTTCTTTTATCTAAAAATGAAGTAATGGGTATAGGATAATTTAAATTAATACTTGCCAAATATCAGAAAAAAATCTAGTAGTAGGGACTTCTAAACAGTTTTTTTACTGATCACAATTTTTTACGCGTTTACTATTGTACCATGCCAACTCTTACCACATTATAACTACAATATATTCCATACTCGAATAGGAGCTTCATAATTGCTAGCTTTGCAACTCACCTTACAATAGTAGTTGTTTGACCTTGTTTTTGCAAATTGGTCATATTGGTAGGAAGACCTAGAAGAACGCACCTTGTCCGGAGTTCATACTATGCATAATAATCTACAGAGTCGGATCGTAAACCTGGTACATTCCCAGAGGTTTTGCCCGCATCATAGTCGGTATCGTAATTGAATCTTGTCATTTTCAGCACAAAGCCACAATTCGTCAAAGAGACCAGTGAAGTCAATCCTATCACAACTTCTGACATGTTTATATTCCACAAGAGATTTTCCCTTTTCACAAATTTACCATGGCATCATCACACCTGCTGTTTGGTTTGCTCCCTTCCCTTTCGAATGGCTGATCTAGCTCTAGCCTTCTGTCCGGATCTACCTCATGGGCCCTTAGCTCCCTTTCTTATCTTACTGTCTGACCGATTTCATTCGGTTCCAGCTCCAGTGTACTTTTACTCCAGGTCCTATTTCTTAAGCCTTCAGTAACATGTACAAAGTCGCCTTATCTGCAGAGAGCTTAGGCCATGCTTCTCGTGCTCACGGATATTAGGCCTTACCTTCACCCATCATCTCCCAGATTAAACCCGTGTACCCTGAGCAAACTGTTGTCATCTATCTATGGTCGCCGGCTGCATCTCAAATGGTCTTCGCATCTACGTTTAACCTTGTAATACATAATATACTTTCATAATTGGGCTGATCCCATTTTTGCAACTTGGTCGTGTCGTCAAGGCGAATTAGTCGGACGCACCTTATCCGAAATCCTCTGCTATGGTAGTTATCCTAATTTCCTGCGTCGGACCGTGGACTTGGTACATTCCTAGGTGTTTCGCCAACATCGTGAGGGAGTCTTGTCATTCTTAGCACCAAGCTATAACTCTTCAAAAAGACAAGTGAAGTCAATCTCGTGAACTACTTTCTACAGAAACAGTTTGCTATTACTCCTCTTTCTGTACTGGATATGAATTAGGCGGATGGATCAGAAGAACACGATTACCGATAGCACAACAGTTTGGGCAGAAAGTTGGTCAAGTGATTTAGTTCATTTGTCTCTTTGACGAGTTATAGTTTGGTCCTGAAAATGGCAAGGCTCACTGACGATGCTGAATAAGATGCTGGCGAAACCTTTAATAATGTTCCAAGTTCACGCTCCGACTCTTGGAAACATGATAACTACTGTAGCAGGCGATGCTAGACAAGGTGCATCCGACTAGGTCGCCCTGACAACACGGCTAAGTTGTGAAAAGAAGTTAAGCCCACTTATATGCATCTTGGTCTTCATATCTTTGAATATAATGTCAGTTTACAATCATTCGAGTATATTCCCCTAAACTCGAGTTGCAAGCATTCTCTTACTTCACACTACATGCTTGACATTCCTAAATATTTATCTCTTTCCCAAATCAAGGTACCAGTTTTAGCATGTTGAATGACAATGCCTTATCCATTATGGATCAGTCCAGCCACCCTTCGAGCGACACCTCTGATGATGAGCAGATGTCTCCAATTCCCAAGGCTGTTGATGATAAACCAGATCTTATTCCGCAAAGAAGGTCTAGTGACTCTAAGAATGACTCTATTATACATAATTTATTGGTTCGTCAACAATTTACGCGATCGATGCCTCTAGAAGCTATTGACATCAGGCTTGTTGTGGCAAAATCTGCAGACTCACTTTCCGCTGAGCCCCCAACTGTCTACGTCCTTAGACCTCTCCAGGTCAACTCGCCCATGTTACTGACTGGACATCAGGCCAAACGTTCCCTGGCATTAGCTGCAGGCCATGTGTTTTCGTCAGATTCAAGAGACGATGATCGAATGGTAGAAGCAATAGAGCCGATTAAAAAGACCAGATACCACGATTCTTCTGGTAAGATGTCTGATGGTCAGGGCGCTTTTTCGTTTTACTTTTTCCTATAAATATGTCAATTGCGGCGCTGATATGTGTTTTGCTTCAGGGGAAAAGGAAGGAAATAATTGCACTCGAAAGAATATAACAGCAATAAACAACGATGGATGATGAATTCACGTCTTCCTATCAGCATAATTTATCTATCCTGTTTCTCAAAATAGTGATATTAAATATAATTATTTGAAAGATGCATCAAATAAACAAACCAAATTCAACGCCACGTTATCGTTTTAATTGTAGATATAAGTAAAGAAGCTAAATACTTAGTTTCGTCTTGTGTAGCAGAGTGCTTACTACCTCTATTGCAGGTAGAAGTTGAGTATTTTTGGCTTTTTAGCTATTTATAGCGCCCTTTTTCATTTTTGTTGATTAGCCTTCCAGCAACTGCGAGCAGCAGAAAGAGACTCAGCTTCTTTTATGTTGAGCATATTCCATCTTGCAAGGCAAGTCAGAGGTAAAATCACAAATCGTTTCAAGAAAACATTCAAACTAGTTGATGAGTCTAGGAATGCTCATTACTCGACTAGTTCCATGGAAGAATATTTATAAAATTGGACATCGGGTTTATCTTTCCATAGCCTATTATTAAGCTTTTTATTTATCTATTTGTTGCATATTTGCTCAGTTTTGCCTCAATGCTGATAGCTCGCAGCTGATTAATTTGCCAGAAATGTATTTGGCTATTTTCTCCTGCTTATTTTCATTTGCATTTGGCTTTACTTGCCTATTTTTTCTTGTTTAGTTTCCAGTCATGACCCAAAAATCCAAGGCGATATGCGCTACAATGAGGACTGCTCGCAGAAACAGTTTGACCAACAAACTGCACCCAATTCTGCCTATCACGTCTCTGGATTTTTGGCTTCAGTCGCTGGCTCGGACGCGGCAGGCTCCATGCGATTATGGAGCATTCCTGCCTCTCAGTCGTGTTCTTCACGTGGGTTTATATGCTGTTAACACTCCACGATTACTTTAGTTATAATAACTGGTATTCATCCAACTTTTTAGGGCTGGACGTCGTTTTTAAATGAAACCATCCTAATGAAAAATGTTGAGAATTGTTTTATCCTTAGGTTAAAGATGAGGTTTAGGGAATCAATGTTGCAGGTCACTTTGATGATTGAGGACTTGATGCTTTAGGCTTTAACGATAAATTGGATGGCTGAGAGGGGAAAAATAGTTTTGATATGGATTTCATTTTAAAAAATACATCTAACTTCACAACTTGGCCATCTTGTCAGAGGGACTTAGTTGGACGCACTTTATCCGAATTCCTCTTCTATACTAGTTATCATAATTCCCATCTTCGGACCGTTAACTTGGTACACTCCCAGACGGTTCACCGGCATCGTCAGTGAGTCTTGCCATTCTCAGCACCAAGCTACAACACGTCAGAAGGACAAGTGAAGTCAATTCCTTGATCAGCCCAACAGTTATGCTATCACTCCTCTTTATGTCCTGACATAGCTACCTATTTCCTACCTTCCCATCTCACTCCTGTCCTATTAAAATTTCTGGCTTGCTTACATTCCACTCCTCAAAATTTCGGAGAGGAGAGGAGCAGAGGATAAGGTGCGAAAACGAAATCAAACAACATCTATATATCGAAAGGAGACTCCTACTAAAATAGGGTCAAC